TGAGCCATCGTGCCCGGCCCCTACCTCTTTTTTTCTGAAAGAATATACAAGATTAATATTATTCCTTAAATGTCTGATAGAATTAACCAGTGAAATCCAGGCCTGAAGATTTCTTTGTGGGAAAGTTTTTGTTAGAAAATTTAATTTATTCTTTAATAGGTATAGGGCTATACAGATTTTCTGTTATTTTGTACTGGTGTTACTACTTATGCATTTTGAGAGGAATTTTTCCATGTCATGTTTTCAAATTCGGCTTAGAGATGTTCGTATTTGTCATTTATTGTCCTTTCGTATCCATAGAATCTGGAATGAGGACTCCTTTTTCACTCCTTGATATTGGTGGTAATTTGTGTGTCCTCCTTTTTTTCTTGATCAGGCTTGCTAGCTACTATTAATCTTTTCTCTCTTTTTTTTAATTTTTTAATTTTATTTAATTAGAGATGGGGTCTCACTCTTGCTCAGGCTGGTCTCAAACTCCTGAGCTCAAATGATCCTCCAGCCTCAGCCTCCCAAAGTGCTAGGATTACAGGTGTGAGCCACCATGCCTGGCCTGGAGATTTTTTTGGTCATTATTTCTTCAAAAAATTTTTTTCCTACTTCATTCTCTCTTTTCCTTCTGTAGTCCAATTACATGTTTGGTCACTTGATATTGTCCCACAGGCCCCTGAGGCTTTTAATTTTTCAGTCTTTTTTATTTTTTAAACCATTTAGATTGGTTAATTTCAATTGTTCTTCACATTTATTGATCCTTTCATCTGCCGTCTCCAGTCTGTTGTTAATGCTATCCACTGAATTTTTTATTTTAGATATTACACTTTATAGTTCTAGAATGTCCATTGTTGAAATTTCTATTTCTTTGCAAGTATTTCTCCCATATGTTCACTCATTATATTTTTCTTTAGGTCTTTGAACAAACTTACGATAGCTACTTTAAGATTCTTTGCTAATTCCAACATGTGGGTTAGGATCTGTTTGTGCTTTTTTCTCTTCACCATGGCTTCCTTATTTTTAGGATTTCAGCCCTCAATTTCCAGCCACTCTGGCAGCCCCATATTCTGTCCTCTGACCTCTCAAGTAATTAAGACTGTAGTTTTCTGCTTGTATTCTAGGCACCCTGTGCTCTTTGTTTTTTGCAGGGGGGCGGGGGAATGGTTGAGAGGGAAGGAAAGAGAAGTTTATTAATTTGTCGCAAATAAGGAAGTTGGTAGACTCTGGTCTCAGTACCATCCTCCACCCTGTGCTCTTTGGATGGGGTGGTGTTTTCAGGGGACAAATTGTATAAATGAAGATTTCACCCAGTTTGATTCCCATCTTTCAAAGATTGATTCCCCCTTTGATCACTCTGTGAAGCCTTTCACATACAGGTTGAGCATCCCAAATCCAAAAATCTGAGATGTCCCCAAATCCAAAACACTCTGGTCCCCAAGCATTTTCGATAAGAGATACTCAACCTATAATTGTTGTTCATGTTGAGTTTGGAGTTTATAATTGTTATCTGCAAGAAGCTAGCCTGATGAGGTACTTCACCATTACTGGAACATTCTATCTAAAGTTCTGAAGTTTTCATTTTTTTTTTTTTTTTTTCTGTGCCACAGTAAGTTTGAAGAAAGTTGAGTTTCACTGAACTTACACACATCTGGTATTAGGACACATTACCATTTGTTATTCATTTTGTCCAGGACAGACAGGTCTACTTTATTGAGGCTGTTTTATACCTTTCTCATAGGTTAGTATAAGCATGACAAAACCTATGGTTTTATTTTTAATTAAAGAAATTTGGAATTTTTTGTCATGACTGTATCAGAGGTGACCGCTTCTCCATATTTTATATTTTCAAGTCATTGACTTTTAACATTTAATATTTTCTTTAATTTTTTTCCATTTAGATGAGTTTGGTGCTTTGGAAAGTGTGAAAGCTGCTAGTGAACTCTATTCTCCTTTATCAGGAGAAGTAACTGAAATTAATGGAGCTCTGGCAGAAAACCCTGGACTTGTTAACAAATCTT